ATGCAGACACTAAAAATCATATTTTGGGGAACATATGTATACCTATGGCTGATTCATGTTGATGTATGGCAGAAACCTACACAATATTGTAAAGCAATTATCCTCCAATTAAAAATTTTACAAAGTTTTTACAAAATCATGTTTTGGAAGACTAGCTATAGAGAAATATGTTTCCAACAAATCATTAAGTGCAAATCCCATCTTCAAACTGAACGTGCACTATGACTACTTGTTGCAAATTTTTTTGAAATAAAATATTCATATGTACACATGTTGTTGTTGTTATTTAGTTGCTAAGTCGTGTCTGATTCTTTGCGACTCCACAGACTACATTATGCCAGGCTTCCCCGTCCTTCACTACCTCCTGGAGTTTGCTCAAACTCACGTCTGTTGAATTGATGACACCATCTAACCATTTTATCCTCTGTTGCCACCTTCTCCTCCTGCCCTCAATCTTTCCCAGCATCAAGGTCCCTTTCAATGAGTCAGCTCTTCACATCAGGTGGTCAAAGTATTGGAGCTTCAGCTTCAGCATCAGTCCTTCCCAATGAATATTGAGGGTTGATTGCCTTCAGGATTGATAGGTTGATCTCCTTGCAATCTAAGGGGCTCTCAAGAGTCTTCTCCAGCACACAAATCGAAAGCATCAACCCTTCAGTGCTACATATGTGTATCAATAAATGTACACACATTCAAGATATATATAAATAGACACAGAACACACTTAGAAAAAAATACTGGCCATTTATATACAGCAAATTAACATTTCATCATTATCTCTATAAGTTCTTATTTCTTTTTTTCCTGATTTATCTAAATTTTTCAAATGAATACTTGTCACTTTCATAAGGAAAAGAGAATTCGACATTTGATATGTATAAAAGTTCATTGGGTAGCATATATATGGAAGATGCCAACTTTAGAATCTTGAAGCCATATGGGTCAAAAGCACAGATATGTTCAAAGACTTAAGTTAATCGAAATAAATTTATGGTTAGTAACACCATAAAAAGAAATGTTCGTAGAAAGTTTCAAAAGTGTTTGAAGTTGCTATCATAGATGCAGCTATAGACTCTCACAAAAACTTGTGAATAATGCAGAAGGGGAGAAGAGGAACTGAGACCAGAAAGGAAGATAGAAATTGCTGCCATTGTCAAGGACTAGAAAAAAGACTGAATAGATCCAATAGGACACTTCTAATGTTCTCAAGTTTCCAGTCACCTTATTAACTCCCTTATCTGATACTGATTATGCACAAAGCTGTGTAACAGTTAAACACCTGAAACAGCATTTGACATATCCTAAGGCATTCCATTTTTCTACTTACTGGTACCAAACAACCCTAGAGATGGGCAGGTCGCCCTTTTTTTAAAAAAATATTTATTTATTTGGCTGCACAGTACTCTTAGTTGTGGCATGCAGGATCTTCGGTTGCGGCCTGTGGGATCTAGTTCTCTGACCAGGGATTGAATTTGGGCCCCCTGCATTAGGAGTACAGAGTCTTAGCCACTGGACCACCAGGAAGTCCTCGACCTTATGGTTCTATTTTCTTTCTTACTGCAGCAATCTACACCTCTTATGCTTATCTTTATCACTTTACTTAAAACATACTCTGGTTACCAGTGACCTTTCTTTGCATAAACATTGTGGTTTAAAAAAGTTTTCAATTTATCTGGACATCTCTCTGAAAACAGAAGTAATCACAGGGGCATGATTGTCCCAATTCACCTTCTACCCTTTCAATTCTTTCCTTTCAGTTAGAAGTTGGGGTTCTAATCCTTCCTCTGCCACTAAGATCTGTATGATTTGGGGCAAGTCACTTTATCCTAGTTGGGCACAACTGATATGTGTGAAAGCACTGTGTAGATTGCAAAGCATTTAAAAATATGATTATTGGGAATTAGCTGGTTGTCCAGTAGTTAGGACTTCATGCTTCCGCTGTAGGAGGCACAGGTTTGATCCCTGGTCAGGGAACTAAGGTCCCACTCATGGCATGGCCAAAACAAAAATTATTGAACTAGGTGATCTCAAAAATTTTATTCAAGGTCTCATATAAATTATGAAAACATGAAAGTGATAAGTCACTTAGTGGTGTCTGATTCTTCGTGACTGCATGGATGGTAGCCCACGAGGTTCCTCTGTCCATGCAATTCTCCAGGCAAGAATACTGGAGTGGGTTGCCATTCCCTTCCCCAGGGATCATCCCAACCCACGGATTGAACCTGGGTCTCCTGTATTGTATGCAAATTTTTTACTGTCTGAGCCACGAGGGAAGCCCACTTTACACTATATTTTTGGTGAATTCAGTTGACCCAGGAGTTAGGAATAATATTTTGGCACACTGTAGAAGACTTCCTCCATTACACTAAAACTGCTGCTGATTCAAAACAACAAAATGATTTATTTGGAACTAAAATAGCACCCAAACAGGTAATCCTTCAATTACTGAGGCTGAAAGTTACCACAAACAACACTTCATTTTAGGAGAAGGCTGAATTTGTAGCCAATACCTAGAACTTCCATTTCTACATTAAAAAACCCCAACTTTTTCCCTTCTTAACCTAATAAATTTAAATCTTAAGATTTTCAACTTAAATCACATCTGAAAAGGCTATAACCACTGGCAATATTTTAGTACATTTTGCTGGATAGTGTCAATGTTGGAATAGTGATTACACCAGGAAGGAAACAAGTGAGGAGACACACCAAATATACACATAAAACAACAGACTCTCCAGTTGAAAGGGCTTCTAAAAGTTATTTAGACTAGAGAGTCCCAGAGTACAGCATTTCAAAAGCTTATAAAAGTTTTAAAAGGGGGGTGGGGTGAGGCAGACATAAAGTATGAACATTTAGTTTTGCCAAACAAGGATATTAACAAAACAACCATCTACCATCAGGACCATTTTATAAAAGGGCACTTTAACAACACAGACATAAGAAGATAAAATCTCAGCAGCATAACTTGAAATAAATGAAAAAATGCATTATCCTGCTCTTTTCTAGGTATCTCATGGAAAACTTTGTTAGACTTGCCCCTGTCCACACAGAGACCTCTGGGAATCCCTAATCTAGTCTACCTCATGCATATCCTTATTCCCCAACCCCCAGCTGAGCATTTGTGTCCTCACTACTGGGGGGAAAAAAAAAATCTCTTTAAATGTATACCCCACCCCTTATATAGGGAACTCTTCAAGCTGAGGAACCCGTTAAATTTTGGATGGCTGTGGTAAAAAAAAAAAAAAAATCAGCAGAATAATAGCTATCTTTGGAAACTTGAAAAATTCAAGATGCTTAAACTTGACATAAAAACAAACACCGAAATCCTGACAGCAGAGAATTTTAAGTAGGCCAGACACACTTGGAATCACCAAAGGAAGCTGTTCAACAGTGCTGATTTGGGAGTCAGGTGGCTTGGGTTTTGTTAGTGCGAAAACTTCACGTTAAATCTTACTCTTTTCTCCGTTATCAAATTGAAGACATTTAGGTCAGAGCTTTATGAATACAAATATTTAAGCCAGAAATAAAGTACCATGTAGGAATTCCACTTATCTTCCAGGATGAACCCCATTACTACTTGATCAGCTATCGAGGCTGCAATTAAGTCTACATTTTTGTCAGTTTTTACAAAATTATCTTATTTGGGATAACATAGGGATAAGACCCTATGTTTTTGGGTCAAGACTGCAGTTTTCAACAAAACCAAGATACGATTTTTCAACGTTTCTTTGTCGGGGTGGGGCTTGGGGGGTTGCGAAGAGAACAACCTTTGTATTTGCAAGTTTTTTCACGGCTCTAAACCTTATTTTCTATTGACTATACACTGGCCACTAACATTACTCGGATCCCCCCCCCCTTGTGTATCAATTATCAGTGGGTAAACAACACAAAGACTTAGAGGGGCAGGGTTAATTCCTGCTTTCCCGCTTTTCCTTTCTGTTAAAATAGGGAATCCAACACTCCCTAAAGCGCAGAATTCTAGTAAGACTCCTCAGCTAAACTGCTAAAACACCGAGCCCTGAACTAATCCAGCCCGTACAGGCCTGCTTTTCTCTTTCTTTCCACCAGAGGCGACAGCCTCTTTCACAAGAGATACTGAACTGGAATGGGCCGGCTGGGGGAGTAGCCCCGGTAAAGATCAAAAGGTTAAAAACCGCCTCAAACAAAGAGCAAAGGTCAATACCCAACTCTTAAGGCCTGACGCACCATCTTCCAAGAAAAATGAAGGTGACTCCTCCCTAATACGCTCTCTAGGCCTGGGGCCGCGAAGCCTTTCAGAAACCAGGCGGGTCTGAGGTGACTAACAGGTAGTTCACAGTGCAACAGTCGACGACCGGAAGTGGAAATGCGCTCGGGGCGGGGATGAGAAGAGGCCACGGCACGCTTGCGCAGTCAGCAGGGTTGCAGCACGCGTGCGCAATTGGGCGGTGACGGAGTGACGTTCAGAGTGTGGGCCGCGACTCTCACGGATCCGGTTCCGCCCTCCCTCTTGCTGTCGACCCTCCGGGGCTAGTGCTCGCGATCCCTTTCCCACAGTGCTCTGCGCTGTGAAGAAGCGGCTCCCGGGGACTGGGGGCATTTTGTGTTGGTTGGAGCCGGAGCAACAAGATGGCGGCGTCGGCGGAGTGACAGGGGTCCCTCCGGGCGGGAGCCGGCGGCAGTGGTGGCAGCGGTATCGCCGCCCTACCTTCACCGCTCTCCTTTTCCAGCCCGCGACGTCGCCGGGAAAGCGAGGCAGCGGCGGCCGTCAGAAACCAGTGGCTCAGCCTGCTAACCGCGAGAACTCCTTCAACAATCTGCGGCCCGGCCAATAAACCTGACAGCAGCGGTGATCAGGTTCCCCTTGGCCGATTCTTGGCCCTGTAACGCCGAAGAAGAGCCATCGTTTTCTGTCTCCTGCCGCTCTCCACAGCCTTGTTCCGTGGTCGAGCCCTAGAGGCCTCCATCCTCCCTTTAGAGGTGTCGGGGCTTAGCCCCAGCCTCCATCTTCGTCTCTCAGGATGGCGAGCAGCAGCGGCTCCAAGGCCGAATTCATTGTCGGAGGGAAATATAAACTGGTACGGAAGATCGGGTCTGGCTCCTTCGGGGACATTTATTTGGCGATCAACATCACCAACGGCGAGGTAACCACCTGGGGTGGGGTTCACGACTACGCTGCGCCTGTCCTCACTCCCCCGCCCCGCGAACTGCTTGGGCCTTTTCCCACCGCACTCACGCACTGGGAAGTCCAGAGGGAGCCAGTTTTCCTGTCTTAGGAACCTCCCCCGCTCTCTTTCCCTAAAAGGAAAGAACCCGAGAGAAAGGTTGGGTGTACTAGGAAGTTCCCTAGCTTGTTAAAAATACACCTTAATCGAACTTTTAAAAAACCGTTGTTTAAGGTGAGAATGGCAAAATCCTATTTCTGGGATCCCCTCGTTTTCTTCCTATGTTTTTAGTTTACTGGGGTTCTTTTTCCCATTAGGCCAGCTACCGGTCGCCTGGTTCCCTCATTACCCTCATTACGTTTTCTGGATGAATCATTTTCTTATACTTTAGAGGACGTGCCGCTTTCGTCACTGCCCCCTGAAGAGGGCTTTGAGGCTGGTTGCCTCGTTTTATAATTACAGAGATCTTTCTCTTCCCAGCCTCTCACCACCTTCTAGCCGAAAGTTGGAGATGTGCTCCTGTTTCCCCCTCTTTTCCCAAGTGACATTGAATCCATAAGGATGTTGATGCCATCATCCCCTCTTTCCCCTGCAGGAGGTGGCAGTGAAGCTAGAATCCCAGAAGGCCAGGCATCCCCAGTTGCTGTACGAGAGCAAACTCTATAAGATTCTTCAAGGTGGGGTTGGCATCCCCCACATACGGTAAGAGTCCTTGAGCAAACAGGCGATCTTCTGAGGGAAGTACGGAATGGGAGAAAATGTGTAAGAGGCAGGCAATGGGACCAGCTGAATCCTGCTCTTGGCATTTGAGTTACCTGGGTTTCCTCTGAAGCGTAAGTCACCACAATCACGGTAAATTTTAGTTTGCCAACTTAGTTTAGGATTTCAGTTTGTTAACACTCTGCTCCGTTTAGCTTCCGTCATTCTTCCCGAGGCTTTCATTTACAGTGGAAAGTATGCGGGTCATCTTTGATCCCAGCGCGGAAGGGTTGCCTGCTGCTTTCTTTCACCTCAGCTGTTCCTTAGGTTTGTCCAGCGAAGTGGATTTGAGGGTGCCGAAGTGACCGGGCTGGGCCAGTTCGGGTTGCTATTGGAGCTGGCTTGGGAAATGGCTGCTCTTTTGTTGTGTTTTTGTTCCAACATGTCTTCCTCCTCCGCTTAGAAAATGGCGGAACGACGTGACTCAACCACATATTCCTGCCCTTTTCACTGCTTGGGTTCATAAGTTATGCTTCCTGGATTCCCTCTTTGGCAGCTCCGAGTTGATTAAACCTTTGAAAAGCCAAGAATAAAGCCGCAGGCAGTGGTGAGGTTCAAGGAAAGAGATGGCATAGTGACAGCCTGTTTGTGATCTCTGCAGTAGATGAGATGTGAAATTAAGTTTACTATGCAAAATCCCTCATAGTCCTTTCCAGAAGTGTTAATTAACTCTGTAAAAAATGGTAATGTTTGTTGCATTTCAGTCTGTGTACGAAATTTTGTTTGAAATGACAAAGGCAGTTTGAGCAACACTATGTTGAAATTGACTCAGTTGTATTAAAAGGAAGCTTAATCATGTAACCACAGTTTGACAAGTAACTTTAACCTGTTGAGTTACTTGGTCAGTAACTCCTCATATCTGGGAAATTGTGGCTTTTTTTGGAGGTGGGATATTGGTGAAGGCAAATAGTAACCAGGATAGATGATGACCAGATGAAGACATTGGGTCCTTTTAAATTAATAAAGGATTTTAGAGTAGTTCGACTTTTAAGATTAAAGAATATCTTCCTAGGATAGAGACTAAAACACAGTTTAAGATCCAGCCCTTTTCCAATGATTATTTAATAATAACATTTGCAAAAAGATCCAGATATAGTGGAGAATTAATTGGAATGGTATTTATCATAGTCTCTTTTACTATCCTAGCTTTTATTCCTCAAATCTTGAATTAACTGGGTTATATACATTAATTCTGATGTGAAAACAACGAGAGAAACATTATCCTTAAAAAAATTTTGAGTGGTCATAAACATTTTTAGTGGAGAAATTGAATGATAACAATTTTCTATTGGTTGGAAGTCAGAATAAATTATTAGGAAGAAAATACCAGGTTTATCTTATGAGATAAAGATTAATGTGAAATCTGAGATGATCAGATTTGAGACTTTTAATGGTTCTCCATTAAAAAAAACCCTGCTGTGGAAAAATGAAAAACCTTGATTAAAATGCTATCTTTTTTCGTCACAGAATAAAAAAAAATTGTGTTAGCCTTAGAATTTTAAATTTCTCTCCTTTTGCTTATATTTTCATTTCTCCACCCTGGCTCTTGCTGATATACTTCCCATTACTAGTTTTTCTTAGAATTAAATGGAAATGCAGTCATGCAGTATGAGGTCATTTGTGTCTGGCTTCTCTAACCTAATGCATGTAAAGTTGGGAGGTTTTATAAATTTCACAAGTCAGGTTGAATTTAAAGTAAAATCATTTTCACGAAAGCAATAAGTATCTGGCATTTTCAGTGCTAGTTCCAAATTAAGTACTCACAGTTTTATTTGGTAGCTTTTATTTAAGAACAGCACTTACGCAGACCAATGAGGGCAGTAGTTAATATGCTGATTACCCACATAAATTGACCTGTGAGCAAAATTCTGAGAGGTTGAGAGCAGAGGGAGTTGTGGAGTTACAAACTGGGTGGAGCTAAAGAGATTAACCTGACTTTCAAGCTAAGACTTCTTGGGAGAGGAGATGGGATTTCAGGATCTGACTGACTCTAAGGAAGAAAGCTTGGTGAACTGGTCAGGGAGGCTGTCCAAGAGTGAAGTCTGGCTACTGGGAGTAGTTTCTAAAGCAGAATATAGTTACTGAATGAGGGTGAGGAAAGAGTGAACTTGTTTTAGGAGGGTATGGTCCAGGTACATAGAAACAAAAAGTGGATCATTGGTTTTAAAGTATGAGAGAGAACTGTTTGATGCATAAGGTTTCTTTTGGGTGGCAGCAACATCTGCTCTGCTTAGTTTGTTCCCCACTATTTCCACATTAACTATATGCGTGTGTGTTTGTGTTTAGTTGCTCGGTCATGTCCTACTCTGTCGGCCCCATGGACTCCTCTGTCCGTGGAATTTTCTAGAGAAGAATACTGGAGCGAGTTGCCATTTCCTGCTCTAGGGGATCTTCCTGACTCAGGGATTGAACCCGTCTCTCTTGCATCTCCTGCGTTGGCAGGCGGATTCTTTACCACTATCTGGGAAGCCCAATAAATACACTCAATAAATATTTACTTGGGAAATACGAAATTAAATTGTTTGCTTAGCTAAATTAAATAAGGCAGTCTGTTCCCCATTGTATTAGAAATCTGACATCAAAATTTTTAGACTTCACTAATATCTTCCTCCTCCCCCAATCAACCCTCACCCTGAAAATTGTCTTAAGATTCTATGGGATATTCTAAAACAAAGGCTGAAAATTACCAGGCCTATATGTTATAACCTATCTGCTGTATCAAGTCCTTAGTTTGTAAGGACCTTATTAAGGGATCTGTTGTGCAGAAACACAGCATCCGGTGAGTATAAAGAGCAAGAGGGGGAGGATGGTATTCAGTCTCTAGATATTTTTAAGAAACTAAAAAGCCTTTGGGTCTTGTGAATTGACCTCTGGGAGCTCATTTTAAGTTACTGTGTTTCTGTTACAACCCTCCTTTTTTTGTGCTACTTTGAACTGAATGCAATTGTTCTCTAAATCTGCCATATGGTATTGACTGAGTGATCTGGGGTCAGTCAGTCCCTTAATCTTTCTGGGCATGTCAATTTCCTCTTTTTTGAAATAAGAGGATTTTACCAAGTTGATAATTTTCTAATTTTGTTGGGGTAGAAGCGTACTGGACAGAAAAGTTTAGAATTTCTTACTCTTCTGTTGGAAAAAGTTTTTTTCACACTGAGCTTTTTGGTAGGGTTTGTTTTGTCTTTAGCATTTATTTTTTTGACTGTGCTGGGTCTTCATTAATTGCTGTGCGTAGGCCTGCAGTTGGAGTGAGCAAGGGGCTACTCCAGTTGCGTTGCACAGGCGTCTCACTTCAGTGTCTTTTATTGCGGCGCACTGGGCTCTAAGCACTTCAGCATTTGCCGCATGCAGGCTTAGTTGCTTTTGAGACATGTGGGATCTTCCCAGACCAGGGATGGAACTTGTGTCCCCTGCACTGGCAGGAGGATTCTGTACCACTGAGCCACCAGGAAGATCCAGGTAGGGTTTTGTTTAAACAAGTTCCCCTACTTAAATAAGTCACTGGCCTAGTTGATGTTAGGACTTGTGGCTATGAAATTTTAAGATTTATTTTCAGATGATGGTAGCTAGAAAGCATTTCATCACAGTTTGGTGTTTGGTCTAGATCTTACCTTTGAATGATAGTAGTGAGATACCACTCAGGACCTTAAAAATACTATCTGTATCAGGTAAACCATGGGTTACTATTTAGGAGGAAGTAAATTAATGGGGTACACTTATAGGAAATATGATGAAGAAGATGGGCAAGGGCATAGTATAATTTTGGTTGTCTTGGTTGTTGTTTTTTTTTTTAACCCACCCCCCCCCCCCTTTTTTTTTACCCTCTCTGAAGTCCTGGGAGATATTTGTAAAGTATTAGTTAATTCTTACTGTTCAGTGTTAAAAGCAACTTAAATTTTAATCTTAACTTTTTGGCACTGAGCATATATCCTGTAAATAAATTCTAATATTGTTACCAGAGAAAAAAGATGACGTCTACACTGGGTATTTCTTTATTAGAGAGAGAATGTTACACCAGATACATGAGAAATGTGATTTTAATTGGTAGAGTAACTAAAACCATAGAGTAACTGTGATATACTAAATCTGTGATATACTAAGGGTACTTATATTGGCTTATGCTGGATTTCTAGTAATGGAATAATGGAATGATGCTTAGATAGCATTTGGAGCTGGATGAAACTTGAGAGATAATAGCCACACTCGATGATACAGATTAGACGATTGAGTCTTCTAAAGTACTTCTTACTAGATGTCTCCTAACTTCCAGTTTTCTTGTGAGCAGTTTTCACCTTTATGTCAAGATCAAATTATGTCTGCTTACATACCCCACACCTTTTCATTTGATGCTGCAGACACATATTATGCCTCCTTCCTTTATGGTATTTGGTCTCATACAGAAAAACTGATAAATATAAGTAACTTATTGTTTGCACTGTTACTTAATTGTGAAAGTGTTATGTAGCACACCAGGCTCCTCTGTCCATGGGGTTCACTAGGCAAGAATACTGGAGTGGGTTGCCATTCTTTTCTCCAGGGGAGAATGACCCAGGGATAGAACCCTGGTCTCCTGCATTGCAGGCAAATTCTTTACTGTCTGAGCCACCAGGAAGTCCATTAGATCCTTACAATTCTTATAATCCTTTCTCTCCCTTTTGAGTCCATGCGTTGCTAGATGAGAACTTTTGTGGATGTTATTGATTTGTATCTTAAAGTGGAGTGATACTTGTAAACATTTGTATAGTCCATGGATTTTACTGCCTTGGCTTTAGTCATTTTTTAGAGCTACGCCATTTTGTTTCTGAGTGTACTTAATCTGTGGGGCTTCCCTGCTGAATCTGCCTGCGAATGCCAGAGATATGGGTTTGATCCCTGGGTCAGGAAGATCTGGTGAAGAAAATGACAACCTACTCCAGTATTCTTGCCTGGGAAATCCCATGGACAGA